GTCTGTTTTTATATAGGGTCGTATATGCTCAGATCAGAGCCTTGTAGTTGAAGGGAAAAAAAATCACCTATTTTCAATTATCTGGAAATTGAAATTTGAATTGTTGTTTGCATAGAATACTACAATATTGTTAGATACAAAGGCAATACTGTGTAATCTCTGGGACAACAATAATTGTATTGTGTAAATAAGAGAATGTTGATCTACAAATGAAATGAAAAAACAATCAAATCAAAAAAGTGGCGCGAAAGGGCAGTTTGAGAATAAATATCAGAGTATAACAGAGCTGCTTTTGCATTTTAATTTAAAGGTCCCCTATTATACTGTTTTTCATCAACATATTATAGGTCTCAGATATATACAAAACACGTCTCTGAAGTGTTTGGCTCGAAATACCCAACAGATCATGCATTGGAGCATCTCATAATCCCCTCTGTTTCAGCCCTGTTTCCAAAGTGCTGATTCTCTGTCTGTTACTTTAGATGAAAATAAGGAGCCCCTCCCCACGCCCCTCTGAGAGATATTTGGTTAAAAAGAACACAATGGTGCTCTAGGAGGAGACTCAAGTGATAAGGTGGGGGGGGGTTACCTTGGTTGCTGATTGGCTAATGGCTACACAAGCCAAAACATCGTTATGAATTCATAAAGTGGCCAAAATCTGATCAGCTCATTTTCAGACAGGTTTTTATATAAATGGATCAGGACAAAAAGTGAGCTTATATTTTTTCCTGAAACTTCCAGAATCTCTTTACACAGGGGGGGGACATGTTTATGTATAAAAGACATGAAAAAGTGGATTTTGCACAATAGGTGACCTTTAAGTCATGAGAAAGTGTTATATTAACAAAAATGTTTGCAATAGGATTGGCCAGGTGGAAGAAGTGTGAAAGTAAATTATATTAAAACGGTGCTCTTAAGCTCACTTTAATCATTTTGTACACAACCAATTGTGTCGCTTTTTGTGTAAAACCAAGTTCAAGACAATGAAAGCCTCCAAAGTAGATCTATACGGACCAATAAAACACTTTTTCTCATTTCACATTTCTCATGCCTTACAACTCATTATGACAGCAGCTTCTTCATTTTTTCACCAGATGCCTAAAGTGCAACACCCCCAACCCACAGCACCAATGCAATAATCGTATTGAATAGAACAGGGAGGTTGCATTTTTGTTTGACATAATGCCTTTGTCAGACAGAAGTGTTCCAATGGGAAAAGCTCTGAATAATGAACCTTTAGCTAAAATAGAAATGTTTTAAGAATAGCTCCATCATAAACGTGTCTTGCAAAAAGCTAACATTTTCCTAACATTCACAAACAGTATCTGAAGACCCCCTAGGGGCCACGGGACCCCTGTTGAGGACCCATGTGATAGATTAAACAGCCTTTCCAAAGTTTGTTTCCTCTTCCTTCCACCCCTAAATTCTTCCAAACGTTTCCATGATGTTTCTACGTGGTCTGTAATTTATCATCTAATGTCTTCCAGTCTTTTTTTAATTAGAGTTTAGTAATTTACTAAATCCCCATATTATCAAAATGCTCTTTTTCATGGCTTTTAAAAATCAATATGAGTCCCCGGAGTATCAGAAAAGAGGGAACTAGATTTGTCTCCCCTTCTGACCTGAACAAATTATTTGTATGTCATATTCAGGTTCCAGATATCAGTAGAAACACCTCCAGCTAGATGATGCCCCTGAGAGAAGCTGCTGGATCACTCCTGTCCACCATGTTGTTCCTCACCATCGTAACACATCTCAAGCAAAGTACGCCTCTTGTTCTGTTGCTGGCATCGACTTTACCAACAAAAGTCATATTGGACAGCAGCATAACTGAGTGAGCCCTCAAAACGCTAGGAATGTGAATGTATATGTGTGTGTGTGTGTGTGTGTGTGTGTGTGTGTGTGTGTGTGTGTGTGTGTGTGTGTGTGTGTGTGTGTGTGTCTTTATTTATTCGAAAGTTAACTGGATGATATAAAATAGGTTCCACAGAAAAAGGTTCTGATTAATTTTTCGTCCTCATGCTTAACGTCTCTGTCAACATTGCAAAGGTCCCCGAGCTGCAAGCACAGCTACCATTATCAATCAGCAGTACAGACATTAAGATTAATGCAAACATTTCAGCCGACGATAATTTACTTTCAGGAGGCTGTATCATCGATTTACGCATTATCAGTGTCCGATCAATCTAATTCTAAGCTCTATCCCGAAAAATGGGCCTCCGGAATTGATTCAAAGCGACCATGATAACGCACTATTATAGAATCAAAATGGCACAGGGTTCAATTGTTTTGCTTTTGCAGTATTTTAAAAAATGACTCAGTTCTAATGGAGGCAATACAAGGTCAGATGTAATAAGATTTCCTGATGCCGGAGACGTTGGGGCGTAGGTTGAAAGCAAGGCTAAATCACAATTATCATTATGGATCATGGAGGGATGTCAGTCCTTGCACATGTTAAGGTGACGCCGAGCACCATTTCCCAGCTCAGTAACAGCCCTATTATGATGGCCCTATTAGATCAATGTGTCAATTACTATTGTTCAAATTGGCCCTTGGATCTGAAAGGATACAAAATTAGGGAGTTGGTGGAAAGGAGGCTTGGCTCATTTACTTCCTGATAGGACAAGCAGCTACTCTAGAAATTAAGGAAGTAATGGATTGTCCCCGCCAGATACACAAAAAGCTAAAATGATAGAAGAACATTGTCCCAGAGAAAAAAAAAGATTATTCTATTAGGTTCAGCTGTTCTTTTGTTAAATGGACAGAAGACATAGCAATGTCCTCATAATGATAGTGTTTAATACTCCTATTAGAATGTTTTAAATACTGTGTAACAATTTGAACACCTGGCCCTTTGTTGTGATATGTATTTTTGAAATATAAACGGCTGTTAAACACAGATGGGATTTAGGCTGATGGTAGAACTCTGGGTCAGAACTGAGTTAACACTTTGGCTTTGACTCATTAGCAATTATCAGTGGTACCTAAACCTAGAAGGGATCCCTTAAGGACCTGCTGAGGACCCACCAAGGGAGGTAGAGTCTATAGATTGCTCCATCTGTCCATGATTAGGACCTATACACATTACGTCTGAATACACAAATGCACAAACACATGGAGTCAGAAGAGGTTTTAAGACACTTCAGCAGGGCCCACTATTTGAACTGGCACTTCACTAGGGAACAAGTCCACACCGTACGTTCTGTTCGATTGGTACTTGAACCGGCAACCCTTCAATTCCCAAGTTGAGTCCCCACAGACTGAGCTCCTTCTTTTAATTCAAACCACCTAAACAAGAAAATTAACATGTTGTATGCCTAGAAACAGAAAACAAAAACTGGGTATGTTTTGAGGAACAGGATCAGCTGATAGATTGCGGAGGCGATGTTCACAGCAAAAACACAGTTGTGCCTATTCTTTTTTTAAAGAGCAACAGCCGATGATTTAACATAACTTCATCACTCAGTGACAGACTTTTACATTTATAGGGCTGGCCCCCACTCTTCTGCCCTCCAGGGAAAATGAGCGAGTAGGGCCAAGGCTGCATGCAATGGTGAGTGTGGGCAATACAGAAACCGCCATTGCTTTACAGCAGAAATTGGTTATGAGAAACAACATCAAACTATATCAATTTAGTATAGTACAATATATAATATATCGATATCGATATTGGCTACTACAAAAATACACAATACTGCCCATCCCTATATTTTATCATTTGCAACTCTAGTATTGGGTATGTCTTTTGTATCTGCTTTTCT